GAGTTTTCTGTAGTTTCACTTGTTCTATAAAGTGCACATGTGGAGGGGTCATGCAGCACTTTGCCAAGCTCATTACACTGACAAGACTCCTTTTCAGTCTTCACATGGCGATGGACAAGCTCACACTTGTAATAGTTCTCTGAAAATGAGAATATTTCATATTAGTAGGGTTTGTTCCAATAACAAACATGTGATAAATGACTGTCTCCCTAAGTTGTCACTTAATATAGGTGAATCTGCAACTATTGAAATTAGAGTTCCTAGTAATGAACAGTTTTGATTCATTGTAGATGTATGGATTCTAACAAACACAGCATGAGAGCCTTCAAAGGTCAGTGAGTTATAACAGATATCTTTATCAAAAATCTCAAACTGGAAAAGGGTGGAATAAATAACTGATGGCCATAAGTTAGCTTTCTGTTGGTGCTCACAAAGTGATTATATTTAGAATACATGGATCCATCTTTAAATATTTCTTCTCAGAATTGATACTAAATGATAGGCAATAAAGACTACCATTCAGAAGACCTAATTCCTTTTTATAGTCTTACTCAAAAGCATCACAGGTTTCTTTCTTTCTCTAGAAAATAAAGAACCATCACCTTCCTGAAAAGTAATGGATGCAAAGGCACCATAATACCAGACATCAGAGCCTCCAGCTGGATTGAGGAAGGGCTGTCACGGGCAGCTATTGCTTATTTCTATCCTTCCCTTTCTGAGCTCCACACACTGCTGTGTTCTTAACTTTCCTCATAGGGTTGTTCTCAGGTCCACTCTATACTCTGACTCCTGAGACTATTTCCCAGAAGGGTGCCTGTGTATTTGCCATTGGGAACAAGGAAGGTAAAATATGAAGACATGTATACAGGGAAGGCAATTAAAGAATAATCATACTTCACAGACTCATGTTAGAGTAAAAATATTGCAAACTATCCCAATCCTACTACAGATTAATCAAATACAAGTGAATTGTGTACTAGTATTAAGTCATCATGATTCAAGTGTAATTAAGAAAAGAGAATGCTTTCTAACACTTACAACAGACAGGTGGCATCTATGGACCAGGATCCTACACTAACTTAAAAGATCAGGAATAATTTTGTTTTGTTTTGTTTTTGTTTTTTTTAGACAGGGTTTCTCTATGTAGCTTTGGAGCCTCTCTTGGCACTCACTCTGTAGACCAGGATGGCCTCAAATTCATGGAGATCGCCCGCCTCTGACTCCCAAGTGCTTAAAGGCCTGAGGCACCAACATCCATCAATCAGGAATATTTTTAAGTGGAATTGAGCACAGCAAAAACATTCTAAGCTCTGGCTCTCTTTTTTTCTTGAAGCCTTCACTGTTTGCCTGCTCATTCACTAGTCCACCCTAATTGTGGTTCTCTCTCCTCTCCACATTCCAGGGCAATCTCAATCTTTCCAGACAGGTGACCATGCCTGCCCTGATACAATAATCCACATGTTCTTTGAGACAGCAAAGAAACATGACTGAACTTTTAGAAAGAATACAGAGGTCTAAGACAGCCCTGTGCTCAGTACATGAAAACAGAAAGCAGAGGAATCTAAGCAGGATTCCTCCAGTGATATTTCTTATCAAATTCTTCAATATAGTTAGTTTTTCCAGTTTGTATATCTTGAATTTTTCTCACAATTAAAAACATGTCTATTGCAAAAAAAGATAGGGGGCTTTAAGATATGGTAGAAACCTTATATGCTACTGAGTCTACCTATGAATCTTGGAACCTAATTCTCTAACATCACATCAGTGTACAAATTCCACTGAGCAGAGTCCATGCATTCCCACTCCTCTTTCGAGAAGGTCACAGTCACATCACTGAATGTCACCAGACCCTGAAACAAAAAAGTAAGGGTTGACCAAGCACTAACTGGTAGTGCTTTCCTGGCTAAAAGGAGACACACAGTATGACTTCCAATACAGTCACATTCTATCATGAACATTCTAACTCTGTGTACACACATTGACACAAGAGTCTCACAAGCAGTATATATGAAACAAGAAATACACTTAAGGTCTGTACATGGTTATCTATATGTTATGGATGCTGTGTTCATGTCCCACAGGAGAAATGTCTCAGAAGGCAAATTCATGAGGAAGTGTTCTTTAGATGCTATGTAACTTAGATCACGCTGAAACACTGACACTGAATTCATCCTGTGTGTACTTGGCCCTTACACGACTCTATTCAAACAGGCTCCGTGGGGATATTTACACTCTAGGTACAATGCCCCACCACTGAGTAGCAAAGGAGTAGGTATGGACTACAGAATATAGGACTGATTTTATAAACAAAGAGTTTTCATTTTTCTTCGGAGTATCAGGGATTGTAATAGCATGACATACTGTCAATTTTAACATTGACATATTAGTATAATGAATTAATTTTATGACAATATTTGGGCCAACATGAACACATAGTAAAATCTGCATCAGCAATATTTGATATCATCCAAAATTTCCCTAAGAATACGCATAATAGAGACAATTACCAATTTCAGCACTTTTGAAGACTATTTCACTTCACTCCCAAAGAATAAAAATCGAGGGAAGTCAAATTTTATTGGCACTGTTATCAATTGTTCTGAAGAAAGTCTTTTCCTGCCTGCATTAGGATAATCCTGAGGTGATATTTGCCAGTGAAAGGCTCCAGAATTCTTTCTAGTGAAACAGAATGTGGCTGAACTGATTTCCTGTCCCATTTCCCCACTCACTCCATCCCTTCCCCCTCCTTCTCCAATCCCTCCACCATACCTGCATCTTTAGCTTCTGTCTCCTCTCTCCTTCCAGGCCCCTCTGCTCTGCTGCACAGGTGAGCAGGTCTGGGGGATGGGAGAACCTGCACATGAGAAAGAGATTGTTCAGGAAGCCCCTGGATTTCTAACACAGTGCTGTGCTCTGTAGATGAAGAGAACACTAAGTACAGGATTATACAAATGACTTCCTAACTGTCATGCAATGTCAAAATACTGGAAATATTTAGAAAGCTTTTTTACTAAGCATCTCTTGAATCACACGTCCAATCACAGCTCAGTCAGAACTCAGGGGTAGAAATAAACTAATGACTGGGAAGAGAGTATCACACACTAGTGATGTTCTGAGTTGATCATGGACCAATAATGATGGAGCCTTACATCTCCCATAGGGACATAAGAGGAGGAGAGAACATTTATGAAAATTCTCCTTTACCTTTCAGGATTTCATTTTATTCTGTGGGATGTGGGACTCACTCACACAAGGCTCACACACTTGCAGATTAGTTTGTCATGAAATACCGATGAGCAGCAAGGGAGACTACAAGCAAACAATTCTCAGTCACAGAAACCACACTAATGCAACTCTGCAATGTCAGGTGTACCATGTTTCAGTGTCAGTTGAAGAAAGAAGTCACTCAAAGATGAAAATTGGAGGCCTATGTGGCAGCAGGAAGATCCTACCTCTCTGATGAACAGTGATGAAAAATATATCCATTGAAAGCTACACAAAGTATCAAAGATGACAAAGGTCCCTCATCTAATTTATCTTTCTTACTAGAGGAGAGCATCACATGCCCCCAAGACTTTAGTCCTTTATTATGTATTGTTTGTAATACACAGTAACACAAGGGCCCAGGTGTGCCTGAAGTGTCTTGTGACCAAAGTCATGGAAGGGCTACAATTTCCCTTCAGCAAAACAATTCTAGAGGCCACGTGAAACAACCACTGTTTTCCACAGAGTCTTCAAGGTGAAAGTACTTCTTTAAAAAACTGTTGTTTAAGCCAGGCGTTGGTGGCACACGCCTTTAATCCCAGAACTCGGGAGGCAGAGGCAGGTGGATCTCTGTGAGTTCAAGGCCAGCCTGGTCTACAGAGCTAGTGCCAGGATAGGCTCCAAAGCTATACAGAGAAACCCTGTCTCAAAAAACCAAAAAAAATTAAAAATTAAAAAAAACTGTAATGGACTGGCAAAGACACTTTTTGAGTGCTGTATTTCAGTCACCGTGTGCATATGTCTCAGTAGGGAAATTAAGGAGGGATAAAAGGATACTTAAAAAAAACATTTTTTATGTATATGGGCATTTTTTTTAAAAGGTTTTATTTATTATGTATACAACATTCTGCTTCCATGTATATCTGCACACCAGAAGAGGGCACCAGATCTCATAACAGATGGTTGTGAGCCACCACGTGATTGCTGGGAATTGAACTCAGAACCTCTGGAAGAGCAGTCGGTGCTCTTAACCTCTGAGCCATCTCTCCAGCGCAAAAAGGATACTTTTAAAAGCTAATTTTTACAAGCATACTGTGGACCTCGCATAAAAAGTTTACATTCAGATTCATGACATTTGCAGGCATCCCTGTTATGAGTATAATCTAAAAGCTCTCTGCGAATCCAAGTCTCCGTTTCCACGTGCCACTCTCTTGAATAGGGAAGCTTCTAACGTGGAAATTAGTATGGATGATTGTAAATTTCGAGAGCTTTGTCGTTTGCAACATACCAAAGAGAATCATGCTTGCAAATCTTCAGATGAATTCCAAAATTCTATTAGATTATTTTTACAAGAATATCTTGGCAATGAGAAGATCAACTGAAAATACCAGGCTTATTCTATATGATCTAAAACACACCAAGGCTTTGTCATGAAATACTGAGGAGCAGCAAGGGAGACTACAAGGAAACAATTGTCAGACACAGAAACCATACTGTTGCAACTCTGCAATGTCAGGTGTACCATGTTTCAGTGTCAGTTGAAGAAAGAAGTCACTCAAAGATGAAAATTGGAGGCCTATGTGGCAGCAGGAAGATCCTACCTCTCTGATGAACAGTGATGAAAAATATATCCATTGAAAGCTACACAAAGTATTTCCTCATGCAAAGGTCCCTCATCTAATTTATTTTTCTTAGTAGAGGAGAGATGCCCCTAACAGTCCTTTATTATGTATTGTTTGTAATACACAGTAACACAAGGGCCCAGGTGTGCCTGAAGTGTCTTGTGACCAAAGTCATGGAAGGGCTACAATTTCCCTTCAGCAAAACAATTCTAGAGATCACGTGAAACAACCACTTTTCTACAGAGTCTTCAAGGTGAAAGTAATTGTTAAAAAAAACTGTTGTTTAAGCCGGGTGTTGGTGGCGAACGCCTTTAATCCCTGCACTTGTGAGGCAGAGGCAGGCAGATCTCTGTGAGTTCAAGGCCAGGCTGGTCTCCAGAGCTACTGCCAGGTAAGGCTCCATAGTTACACAGGTTCAGGTCTCAAACACAGGAAACACCAGAATCAAAAGTAAGTTTGGTCATGTGTCCATGGACAGAGTGCTTTTCTTGGACCAAGGATAAAAAAAAACCCCAAAAACCCAAAAAACTATTGCAGACATTTTTCTGATACACACGAGGTATCCTAATTATTCAAAAGATGCTTTCTGATATTATTCTATACTATCATGCATTTAAATTTCTTCTTTCCTTGTCTATTTTCCACTGAAATAGATCTTTCTTGTGTAGTGCTAGCTTTTGGTGAAGTGACTATGTATCCCTTGCTAGTCTCGACAGCAGTGAAATTCACCTGACTCTGTCTTCTGAGAGTTAGGAGTAAAGGAATGGCAAAGACTCTTTCAGAATGCTGTATTTCAGTCACCGTGTGCATATGTCTCAGTAGGAAAATTAAGGGGGGCATAAAAGAATATTTTTAAAAGTTAATTTTTACAAGCATACTGTGGACCTCACAGAAAAAGTTTACATTCAGATTCATGACATTTGCAGGCATTCCTGTTATGAGTATAATCTAAAACCTTTCTGTGAATCCAAGTCTCCGTTTTCACGTGCCCTATTCTCTTGAATAGAGAAGCTTATAACATGGAAATTAGTATGGTTGATTTTAAATTTCAAGAGCTCTGTCGTTTGCAACATACCAAAGAGAATCATGCTTGCAAATCTTCAGATGAATTCCAAAATTCTATTACATTATTTTTACAAGAATATTGTGGCAATCAGAAGATCAACTGGAAATACCAGGCGTATTCCACATGATCTAAAATACACCAAGGGAAAGACATGCACAGCAGAATCTCGGAGCCGGCTTCCTGATGAGCAGCAGAGAAACTGCTCGCACTCCCGGTCCCTCCCTCCGGGTCCCAGCCCCGCTGCTCCTCTGACCTC